AAAAAAAAATACAAGGGAATTGGCAGATAAAAGCAAATTCGGTTATAGTCCGTATAACCAATATAAATTAAAAAAATGCGTCGCAAAAGGCCCTAACTCGGAGGACTGCCCCTACTTCGCACGATGAAACGGCACTAGTGGACCGAATAGGCTGAGCGCAGTTGCATTTTCGGTTGGCTATTAATATCCAAACAACAGTCCTGCAAGATGCGCATACATACTACATGAAGCCAACAAGAAGTTTCTGGCAGATAACAGAAATCTTCCTGAAAGGATACCTATACTCTGTTTTGGTCAAACAGAATGAATAAAAGACAGGCTCCGGAAGTGCCTGTAACCTCACTATTAAGTTAAGAAGGGGAAAGGCTTTGTGTTTAAAGCCACGATCAGGGTCATCTCGCTCTGTGGCCACCAAGGGTGAACTTCTGGTCTGAAGAAGATCGACATAGTCAACAAATTCTGCTTCTGTTTCTGGACCACGTCTCAGCAACGATTCCTGCTCGTATTCAGACGAAGGTTTGCCGTCTCATCAACGACGTCATATCTCGGAGCTCTTGGTGGATGAACGCTCACCGATCGGCCACAAGAATCATTCGTTTCGTTCTGCTTCTCGAACTCTGTCAGCAGCCGTACATCGACATCTGAAAATGGCCTACAAAGACAAGGGAGATTGGAATGGCCATTTCTGGCTCATTAGCCATAGTCGGCTAGTCATACCCAGCCCCAAAAGCTGCACCACCCGAGGCTTGAAACTAGGACTTTTTGATTAAAAGTCTAACGCTCTAACCATTGAGCTACGGACTCGTTGTCCTGACCTAAGTGACTCAAAGGTCACAAGTTCAGGCCTCAGGTAGTGTATCCCGGGGATTGGGTATGACTGGCTGATGACGGCTGAAAAGCCAGAAATGGCCACTCCAGTCTTCTTTGCCCTTGTAGACAATGTTCATCTCCAAGCCCTTGTTAGAGTTGGTGGTGTCGCGAATTCAAGTGTGCCAATTACAAGCACTCCCTTCTCAAAACAGAGTCGGCTATATAAAAATGTCCACCAAGGGGGACGAAGCCGCCAATACTCCCAAAGTGGTCCTTTTATTAACTTGCACATTCAGATACACTCATATAAAACCTTGAAAATGCAAATGGGCATCCTGCTCAGTGAAAAAGGGGCAGACCGCAGGGTGTCAAGCGTCGAAGGCAAATGACAGAAAAAGGCACAACTTACCCTGCCGATCTGGACGCACGTGGTTGGCAATAGAGCGAACTTGCGGTTCTGCATGGACGAGAAAGGGAGCAATTCAGTGTCAAAGATGGAATAAGACATTATGTAACCAAAAGGCTAAAGAGATTTGAAAAAAATATTGACAACAGCCGAAGGATCTACCGAGCGAAATATTTCCCAAAATGTACACGCGGACCATGTAGAAGGGTTTGAAAAGCGTATAGAACAAAGATGCTAAATCTTACAACTCAGACTCAAAGCCCTGATTATTTAAACAGGCGAAGAGAACACCAAAGACGGCATCCGGTGCCCAGAAGGAGACACAAAATAATACGACGAATGGTTGAAATAGATGTGACATTTTCGCAATGTGAAATCAAATCCAAGATGTTACCATGTCCGAGTAACGATTCAATTTATACTGATGGCAATAAGAGATATTCATCTACATACGACCGTTTAATATCGTTACTCATGAGAATTAACCAGAAATAAAAGCGAACTCCATGCGGTGGTTTGGCAGACACCAGTGCTAGAGCGAGGGCATGTTAAAATTACTTTTATTTTGCAAACTTGGTATAGGACTGGCAGAAACTGAGTGATTGTAGATTTTCGGAACCTTCGCATCTGCCCGCTTTAGAATGAAGATAATGCATCCTTTTCGAGTGATTCTTAGACAAGTGTTGCAAACTCGGGAGCGGGAAACAGTCTTGTAATTGGCACATAGTAAAGAAACAGTAGAACTATTCCCTGAAGGAAATACAACAAATAAAGAGATAGAAATGAAAGAAATAGAGCCTATGAAGAAGCTCTGGGTGGCCAAAAATAAAATGTTCAAGGACTATTGACGAGAGATACGCATTGTTGTAATAACTGTTGTCAAAGATAAATGCAAGTAGAGCATAAAGAGCAGAGAGTCCATATACTGACCGAATCCAAGGTTGAACATTTTGTCAGCTTCGTCAAAGACGAGGAAAGTGGTTCTGCGCAGGTTTGTGGACTTTTTCTTTACTAAGTCAATCAGACGACCCTAAAAGAGGGCAACGCACAACTTGAACCACTAAAACAGTACATCAAGAAGGAATATGTGTTTGCTAGAGAATAATTTAAGCTTAAGAGTGCCGGAAGGATGCGTTACAAAACGAAACAACAGTGGAGGCGAAAAGCAGCATATACACGTAATACAGGTATATTTGTGGATAGTAGAAAATGAAAATTTCTACTTATGAATTCGGACCCATCAGGTCGAAGAGCACACGTCATTTTCCTAAGGATAGTTATACCTAAAAACTAACGTATAGAATAAAAAGACAAAACTAGGTAGAGAGCTATCGAAAGAGGCTCAACTTGGCCACACAACTATCTAAATCAAGACGTTCTCAGTATGTGGGACCACATTTGGCGACAAAAATGAGGACGTCAGTTGCTGCTGTATAACAGACATTGCGTCCTTGCTGTCAGAATTAATGGAACATATAAATGCAGAACAGAGAAGCCGTTTGTAATATAACGATTATCTCATCACACAGAGATAGTCAGTGCAAAAGCAATGGGTGTTTCAAGAAATCTTACTCTGGTTCCTATAGCCTAGCTGGAAATCACTAATCTTCCAGACGAGGGAAAATGTTAAGCAATGTAACCAAAGGCTACTTACCGGTGTGCAGACTAGTAATTCACAGCCAGCCTCGCAAGCCTTCTGTTGTTCCCAGAGGCTGCCGCCACCATAGGCACAGATAACTGTCAGGTTGTAGATCTTGGCCACTTTCTTGGCCTCGGAGTAGATCTGAAGAGCCAACTCACGAGTAGGCGCACAAATAATGCCGATTGGACCGTCCCCCGCCTTCAGTTCTGGCTGCATATGGAAAAAGAGTTGGGGATGGAGGGTAAGAAAAAAGATTAAGGTAGATAGGCGTTAGAACAGCGGCAGTGCAGCACAATATAATGCACATGCCTAATAAATCCATTTAAGTAGAACTGTTGTTTCAATACAATTGCTGAGCATGGGCCGGCAGTTCGGACATAACAAAAGACTATGCTCACCGTAGACACAACAACATGGTAAACATAATGACGTGGACTTGCGCGTGGAGTAGCTTATAGTGGAAGCAGACTTACACAGCATCTGCCGCACTCCCGGCACATTTTACTTTCCTAGGTTCGGTGGCAAGACGAAGTGAGGATGATTGGAAACGGGATACAGCGCAGTGACTTAAAAATTAAACAGTCCCCCCTCCCCTTATGGCCTCAACATGTCGACTTTGCCAAGCGGATGGCGTGAGAACGACGAGTGCTAAGCATAATACATTTACTCTCATAAGTTCATTATGTGTGTAATTATATATGCTCGACGCTGAGTTACTACAAAGGGTAAGGCCTTGATGACAAAAGTTTCCCCACTCACGTTTCTTACAGAAATCTCGGTGAAAGGCTTAATGTTTAATTAGGGTGCAATTAAGGCATATTTAATACATGATAAGTACACAGTACGAAATTAATCAAAGCTACTTATAATTGTTTTACTGAACTATGGTATGGCATGCGGAAAGAACAAAATTGACAAACCTAAACTCCCATTGGTCAGCAAAGGATGCTTACAGACCAACGACAATATTAGAACAGCTCCTATTTGTTAACATATTCAAGGATGGCGGAAATTCGACCTAGTGAAAATTTGTAAAGTATTTTATATCAATCGTAGCCTCCAAGAAAGCCCTACCCTAAAAAAGATGTTTGGTGAATCTGCTTGGTAGAATACAAGGATTTAGAGAGGAGAGGTAATGGATGGTACCTGCGACGGGCTACCATTTCCGAGGGCCCCAAGTGTCCAGCCAGCTGATTAGGTCTAAGTCAGCTCAAATTTGGGAAAAAGATTTTTACTTAGCCAGCGATCCTTCGGCGCACAAGACAGTACAATTTGAGTTCACGTGAAGGGAGCTTAGTAGACTTATAGCAAAGGCAAGTCAGAGCAAAGAACACGCAAAATCCTACCTGAGCCATGATATGAGTGATCATGGGCCAGAGGAAGGCCAAGGTCTTGCCACTG